TTCTTCTCATGAACTCTGGGCACTCTTGAAACCTGCAAAAAATACAAATGAGTTTAATCGCACCGAAATCTTGAGAGGCCAATGATGCCGAATCCAAAAACAATTTCAAGTTTTAAGCAGATGAACGCAAAACGAACTACCAAGAAGCTCACAATAAAGTAAGTATTTCAAATACCATAGAACTCTATTACCTGGGCAGCAAGATTAGTGAATGATGAGGCGCGGGTATGGTCGTAGAACGACAACTTTGCAGGTTCTCGGCGCCAGTAACGCCGTTTTAATGAACGTAACTTCTCTGCGTCAATAACACTCTTCAGGTCTTCATTTGTCTTCACGAGTTCACGGAACACATCCAGTCCATGTTTATAGCCTACATCCTGAAAAGTAATAGTTATAGCTCTTTTAATGAAAGATATCTGTTTGGCGCAAAAATGGGCCAATTTGTAAGCTCACATGAAGTTACGTGGATGCGACAACGTAAGAACACGGGGAAAATAAACGCTAGCGGTTGGATCAATGGTCAAAAGAAGAGCGGCTATTCAAAGTACCAAAATGAGTCTTTAAAAAAAACTTACACGTATAGAATCAAATTTCACGAAGTCTAAAGTCTTGAATTCCTCGATAGGTGGTCGAACATACTGACAATAACCGGCGTTTTTTACCAGTTGAAGCTGCTGCACACAAGAAACATATGCTAAACGACTCTGAAAATATTTCTGCATCACAGGCACATTCTGCGACGTTTTCACAATGCCAGCTTCCTGGTTGACTTTTCCACTCTTACTGTATCTAATAAATTTACAACAGCGTTAAGAGTTACCTGTATTTCCTCCATATTTAAAACTTTGACGGATTCCGCAAAAGGATTGAGCTTCCTTAATAACACCCAAAACCCACTCAATGAATCACCATAATTATACAGATTTGTTTCAGCAGCTGAACCAACATCAACTGCGATCACTATTTTAGCGCCCATCGATCTGAAAAGCAATCCGATGATAAATAAGTAAGTAAAAAATAGTAAATCATGTGAAAGACGTAATAATGAAAAAATAGTGCGAAGATGCGTTTTTTTTGCGTAGTTCCCTACAGATTTTTGTCGCTAACGGTATTGTTTTTTCCGGCAGATGATTCTAGCTAAAAGGATTTCAGACAGGCCGCCAGAACTGTCAGGAAGTATCTTTTAAAAATTCCATTCTTCTAGCTTCTCAGGTTCTCGAGTGAGCAACTTACCCGAAAAAAATTCCACAGTCCCGTACGTGGGTATCACACATATCTGAAGGCTGGGTTTGAACTCATTAAAAATTACGTGGACGGGAAACGTCCTCTATTCCAGTTCTCTAGCTCCTCAGTTTCCCATGTTAGCAACTTACCCTAAAAAACTTTGGCTGGCCCGTACGTGGGTACCACGCATAGCCGGTGCCTGGGTTTAAACTCATTGAGATTTATGTAGACAGGAAACACTCCCTTAAAATTACAGCCTTCTATCTCTTCAGTTTAGCGAGTTAGCAGCTTACCCGAAAAAAATTTTGGCGGGCCAGTGTGTGGGCACCACGCATAGACGAGGGCTGGGTTTGAGCTCACGGAGACTTATGTGGACGGAGAAAATCCCCCTAAAATTCAGCTTTCTGGCTTTTCTGATTCTCGAGGTAGCGACTTGCCCGCAAAGAACTTTTACAGGCTCGTACGTGGGAACCACGCGGGTAAGAGCACCCATTTTGGGGATTGGGGCCCGTACGTGCATGTAGATTAAGTTCCCAAAGTTTCAGCCCTGTAGCTTTTGTAGGTCTTGAGATGAAAAACTGTGACAGACACCCAGCGCACGCACGCACACACACGCACGCACACACACATACACACACACACTCTCACACACCTCTCGTCTATACGCGTTTTCTGCACTGCATAGCTGCAAAAAACGCATAAAAAGTGAATCATAAACAACTAAAACCGGCCAAAGCGTTTGAGTAATCGGCAAAAAATAATTTAAGCTTAGTCATCGATAGCAAAAATATATACGACTAACTGCATAACATCCGCCGGCAAATTGTTGACATAACCACCGTCCAGCAGAAGATGGCCATCCACCGGATCACAG